TCCCTTGCTCTCTCCCCCTACAGAGAGCGCAGAGACCAGCTAGCTAAATAGCACCTGACCTGTTTGTGTTGCTGCGCGGTAAATCGAGGTTCGGCCCTGCGATAATTTCAGTATGCTCGTTTTCGAAAGTTGTTTTCTTCTTGGGTTGTGGTTCACCGGGTGCTTGTAGTTGGTTCTGGCAAGGGACTGCGTTGCGCGCATTTCTTGTTGGTCTAGGAGCAAGGGCTGTATGTCGGTGGTGCAGAGTTCAAGGTCAGCAGACACCCCCTCCCTCGCCCTCCACCTGCCTCCAGCAAGTGCACCGTGTAAACAAAAAATCGTTTATGCGCGCCATTGAGCGGCAGAGAAAGAACAGCTTGTAGCAGGCCTGTCGCTGCTCAACGGGTCAAGCAAATCCTGTTGTTCATCGCGCTGCTCATCGGTGATGCCCGGCCAGTGGCACATGTCCAGTGGTGGTGGGTCATCCACGGTGTCTAGCCCATTGTCGCAGTTGTTCATCTTTGCGGATGTCCAGCGATGCCTGTCGAGAAATGGAAATTTCTTGAATTCGAAATTACAGCATGTTGCGCTGTCAAATTTTGCTTTCTGAAACTGGTTGATGATGCCTGCAGTGCCATCGTGCGTTTTAGGCATCCCGTTATTGCGAATGTCGAAGCTTCAAAAAGGCGCCGCCAGGCGAAATCCCAAGCCGTCCTCTTCTCCTTATGGAACATACAGTGCCCAAGCACACACAATGGATAAGCACCCAATTCCTCCCGATTTACATCCGTTTCGTGGAATTGGCCATTCCACGACATTTTTTGTTCGCCCATATCACCTACGCCCAGTTCATTATGGCTTATCTGCTGCAATACTTTAATGCTCGCAGTGGGATTAGCATGGGACTCAGTTCTTCGCTGTCTGTCCTCTGGGGTGACCTCATGACCCGCCATATTGGGCTGTGTAGTGCATATCGCTATATATGTCCGAGCAATCGTGATAGATTTTGGCAGTTCCATGATATAAAAGGCAATAAGTGCTGTAAGCGTTTTGTTGGCCTTACTTGACTTATACGCTAATAATTTGCTTTTTATGCATTTTTATGCGTTTTTGCTGTGCAGCGCTATAGCAGCGCTATAGCGCTGCTACAGCC